AACGCGTCAAAGCCTGGAGGGGTGGAGGAGCTGGAGCCTGAGCCTGCCTCTTGCCATGACGCTTTCCTTCCTCGCTGTCTTTCTTGCTGGCTCCGTTCCTCTCCTGGGGAGGACAGGTCCCAGCTGCCACAAAATAGCGCTGTGACGTTTTTTGGGGCACGCTCACCGGGCCATTCCAAAACTTGGCAATTTGAGTCCTTAGTGGGTTGTGGCTTAGGAAAAAAGGGAGATGAGGATGGTTTGCTGCTGCTAGCTGGAAAGGCTAGGGGAAAAGTGGTCCTACAGAGCGAGGAACTGTGCGTCCTACAGCCATGGGATTGCTCCAAGCTCAAATCACTGCAGATGGGTCATAAATGGTCTCCACTGGTGCAATGGCTGGTCCTCAGTAGCCTGGGCAGAATCTGTGGTCATCTGGAGCCTGGCTCGTCCCAGGGACTGAGCAGGACATGAAATGACCTGGTGGCAATGCCTGTCTGCAGGAGAGGAGCCCCAAGAGTGGTCCCAACCCTGCCTGTCCTCTGGGACTGAGGTCCCTCAGGTCGTGCCCGCCAGGGTGCAGGACTCGTGCTGGCCCAGCCACGCCTGTCCTGGGCACCTCGACCCAGGCAGAAGTCTTTCCTCCTGGCAGTCAAGCCTGCTTGCCTCCGTCCAGCCTGAGCCTTCAGTGCTGGGAGGGGGTCTGGCTACTTCCCAGCCTCCGCAGGAGGCACAGGGTTCCTCCGGACACACAGGGTTCCTCCCGCTTCAGCCGCAGGAAGATGTGTCGGTGAGGGCAGATCGGAGCAGTCTCTCCTCAGCGGGCAGTTTGTGCCCCGGCCTCGCCCCGAGCAGGATGCCTTCTGTGGAGCGACTTCCCGTATCCTCAGGAAATTGCCTGCCTCAAGCCCGTGGTGTGTCTTAGACCGAGAGGTGGAATTTGGGTTTTATGCAGTCCTTCCTAACCTGTGTCATTTGTGCCCCCGGGGTTGCTCTCGCGGGTGCTGGGCAGCGCTGGTTTAAAAGCGGTTCTTTTGCGTGGATGATCTCATCCCCATTTATGTTACCTCAGGGAGGTAGCACAGATGTAAAACTTCCTCTCAGAGCTTAAACCAGTCACGAGCTGCCAGCGGCGTGTGAAGGAACGCGTTTGTGGCGGGGTTATTCCGCTGCTGCCTGTTCATGGCTGTTTCCGCACCGCGGGGGGAGATGGGCATTGCTGCCGCCGCTCCAGCCCACGCTCGGCTCCCAGCCCTGCGCTGCTCTGGGCCGTGGAACGCAGGGCTGAAGGATGCTCTCGGGCAAGAACCTCGGAGGGGTTTATGGGCCAACAGGAGAAGTGTGCTCATGCTTAATGGAAATAGTTACCGAACGCCTGACGCGCCTTGTGCGGAGCCATGGCTGACCCAGAAGGGACAGCCTGGCAGCGCTGGCTCTGTCACCCCCTTCCCAGCCGACCCCTCCCTCCAGGCCTCTCTTTCTTCTCAGATATTCAAACTGGGGCTTCAAAAGTTCCCTCGTTTTGTGATCGAAAGAGAAATAAGGGTTAACAAATGCCCAAGTTGGGCTCGTTGTGGCAGTGCCAGAGCCTGCTGGTTGAATAATTACTGCAGATTGCAGAGCGTCCTGGGTAGCACACTTCAGGAAAAACACAGCTGGTGGCAGGCACACGCACAGTTGCTTAACATGAAAACCAGGACTGCTGGAGCCTCGGCCAGCCCGAGGCTCTGCAGACTCGTTTGCTGTGTTTTGTGGGAAGTCTCAGCAAGTTGTGGCCTTATGCCTGTGGGCTGGTGTGATCACGTGGAGGTGGCCTTGTGGCTTCATCTGTGCCTGCGCGTGGCTGGAGAAAGGGAGAGGGTTAAGGAAACCCTGATGGATTCCTTGAGCTGAGGAAGTAACTGCGAGGGAACATTTGGGCAAGGACTAGTAGCAGAAGATGCCAGAGGGGCCATTTGCCGCTCCTCTTCGTTAATCCTACTGCAGCAGGGAGTGCTGGATAATAGAGGTAAATGGCGTAAGAGAAGAAAAAGCTTTTAGCTGTGAGCTATTGAGATCTGCTTTTGGGTCTGTACGTATCGTGACAATGCCTTCTCCTGGTGCTGAGCGGGTGTTACCAGCTCACGTTGGCTGTACCCAGTACTACCAAGCCTTTTTCATGTCCTCTAGTGAGAACAAGAGGAGCACGCGAGGAAATAATGTGATCCGAGCTGTAGATCTGTGTCTTAGCAAATTTCACAGAGGGGCAGTTGCCTGAAGTGGGAATTAGTATATCTCTGCTGAGCTGAAATTTAGCTGGAAAATAAATCCTGTGCCCAGAAAGTGGTTTATCTGTGAGCACTGCCAGGTGATCCCCACGACGTGGTGCTGGGCTTCCCTGAGACTTGCAGGGCTGTTCATAATACTGTGTCACACCTCACCGAATGCTCGAGTGCAAAACCTTCCCCTGCTGGCATGTACTTGGTTTCCTTTTCAACAACCAGTACCCCCATGCGCATGCTTCCGTCCTGATCATCTCTGTTCTGCTCGAGGAAGGTGGTGTTTTGGAGAAGGAGACGGGTGGAGGGACTCTGCCGTATTCTGGATGTTCCTGAGAACAAGGGAGGAGGCCCTGGGATGTGAAGTGATGGTGGGGAGTCCAGAAGTCCTTGTTCTCATCACTAGGCAAATACCTTTCTGCCCGTGAGAGTCTGTGTCACCCTTCAGGTTGGGTGTACATTGTTGTCACCCCTTCCCCGGCAGAAATGGGCTCGCTGGCTTAGCGTTCCCTGGGTATCCGTGCTCGTTGTCCGGGCAATCTGCCCACCGTCACTTCTGGCTCCATGCTTTCCAGTCTAGCTGTGTTGATGCCTCTCTCTGAAGGCCGTTCTGGCTTCGTTGTGGTTGTCGTTCTGGTGCAAGAGTTGGGGGTAAGGAGCACAGGAGAAAAATTTGTGCTTCACACCTGCCTTGTCGCCTCTCCCTCAGGTACGTGATCATCTCCCGGGAGGAGAGGGAGCAGAACCTGATGGCCTTCCAGCACAGCGAGAGGATTTACTTCCGAGCATGCCGCGACATCCGCCCTGGGGAGAAGCTGCGGGTCTGGTACAGCGAGGATTACATGAAGCGGTTGCACAGTATGTCCCAGGAGACCATCCACCGAAATCTCACAAGTGGTGAGTCCTCCCTTCCTGCCCTCTCCCCTGTCCCCTCGGGCTGCCAGGCTCGCCAGGCTGAGCACGGTGGGTGAAGTAGGTGACGTGCGAGGAGAGCTGCGTTTCGGGAAGCAGAGCAGCCCCGGGTGAGAGCCCCGCGTGGCGTGGCCGGGTGGCTGTACAAGAGCGACAGAACCACTGCCACGGAGATCCCGAAAGAAACATTTGTGCTGTGTCGTGTCGTGTGTCGTGTCGTGTTGCGTGTGTCCCGCAAAGCCCAGGGATGGCGGAGCCTGACGATGGCGGAGCGGGTGGTCCCACAGATGGACATTAGGTTTTTCTTCTGAACCTGCTGCTTTCTCTGGCGCCTGTGAGCAGCCTGTTTGAGGGAGCTCCAGCTGGCTCCGTGTGCGTAATGAAAGAGATTTCCTTGGTGTGTTTGTGTGTCCATTTTCCTCGCTTAATTTATCTCCTCTTTCTTCAGAAAGATAATTTGGGATCAGCGCAACATCAGCTAGAGACTCCTTAGTCTTGCGACCTTAGAGTGCGTGTCCCGCCTACAGGAGGCTGTGTACTTGTCAGACTGATTCTCCCCTGGATAAAAACGGTTATCTTAAGAGTAGCCATGCTGGAACAAACCCAGCAGTCCTGTGGGTTAGGGTAATGCCAGCAATACAGGAAGCTTTAGAGGAAGGCAAAAATTTTGTTAATGCATCTGTTCATCTGCGTAGTGTTTAGACCTGAAGTTAATTAAGGGCATTTTTTTCCAGGCATAGCCACAGGACGGCAGGGCTTCCGAGGGGCAGCCACACTAAATATAACTTTCTAATTAAGGTTCCCATGTATATTATTACACAGCTGCTGTTGCTGCCTTGACTTGGTAAAAGGTGTCTCCTCTTTAATCACGGGGTGGACAAGATGTCCGGAAAAAGCCCGTTATCCTCCATCGCCTTGGAGTTACGATGCGCTTGCAGTGTTCCCTCTTGATGGCCGCTACTTGGGCAATTCCCACTTCAGAATTAACGTGGCTACAAACGTGCTTTTCTATGTTAATGAGCACCCTTGAGCGATGAGGTGCAGGCTGCAGTGACCTCGCTACGTGCTGTACACCCCTTAACTGTCCGCATGGTTTAGTATTTTCTGAAAAGTACGGCAAGAGAAGGACCGTGCCTCTTGGAGCAGCTGCTCAGGAGGGGCGCTGAGACCGCGAGCGATGGCTCTGCTGTACACACACGCCTTCAGTCGCGGTTCCTTACGATGTGTGAGCTGAGATGGTAACTGCCAGCCTGCTCGGTGCTCCGAGTGGCGTGAACACCTGCCTCTGGGCTCCTCGGGACCCACCGTAGCCTGGCATGTGCCTCAGGCCGGACCACCCCAGGAACCCCCTGAGGTCTCGATGGGCTCAGCCTGTGCCAAGCCAGGCTCAGCCTGTGTTTGCAAACGAAGCGCAGAGGCATTGTTGGCGCGGAGCATCGCTTGGGAGAGATGCCACAGCCTCGCCTGGGAGAGCACTGGGAGGTGGCCAGGGAGCAGCAGCAAGCTCTGTTGAGTCTCTTTTCTGTTTAAAAGATTCCGAATCCCCCGCAGACGAGCCCGTCGAGAGAAGCGGCACACTTTATAAATGCTCAGAAAAATAACGTGGTCCCTGGGTTTTGCTTCTGCCAGTAGTTTCCCACCCGCCTCATCAATGGAGTCAAAATCAATAACATGAGGGATCGGCTGGTGATTTCTAGCTTTCTCATAGGGCCGAACCACTCGGTTGGTTGGGGGAAAAAATCACCAAGAAAGAAGAAGAATCTACTCTCTAAATCCCTACCTCTGCCAGTAGTCTGTATAGTCCTTAACAGGGGAGATTCTAGGGCAGAGGCTCAACGTGCTGCCCATAGAAAATCCCATCAGTGTGTTGAAAATGAGATCTGTTGTCACAGATTCACTCCTGAAGTGGCCGGGTTTGCCAGCCAGCACCCAAACTCGCTGCAAAATGCCTGCCATTCGGGCCAGCCCTCTTTACGGTGCCTTACTCTAACTGTTTCGAGCCTTGCGTCTTTTCTGCATTCTTAGCATTGCTCTCCTTAGAGAGGGAACGGTAGCTTTTGCTCAGTAACTCTTATGAAAGCATGAACACACTTTAAAAGCAAACAAAACCAAAAAAATCAGCATAAAGCAGCGTCTTGTTTGGGAAGCCATCAATGCTTGAAGTTATTTACAAGATAGAAGAATGATGGAAATTGAGCCAAACCTATCGTCTTTTGAATTTCCAGGTAAGGAAAACTGGCTATTCCCTTTATTTTAAGCAATTAATAATTTGTGTGAGGTTGCTTTTATTATTGTTTGGGCTTTTTTTTAAATCATTGCGTGGCCACGCTCTTAGACTCCACCGGGACAGGCTATAGATGTTCCATTCCTTGGAGGGCGTCCACCTGCTGTAGCTCAGTTTGACGACGAGTACCTCGGGGTTTAAGAGCGCAAGTTATTTTTACTCCTTTCCCTTTGCGTTTCTGGAGCAGCCTCCAAACTGAACGAGAGCAGAGGGGCTTGCAAACCTCATGCGGTGGCGCGCACAGACGCTGGGGGTGTCAACGAAACGGTCCGAATCTCTCGCTGCACTGCTGTACGCTCGATACCTTTTACCAAGTCAAAAAGAGGCACAGGTCTTCCAGCCAGCCGAAACGGCGCTTGGGCTCTGAGCGTTAGGTTCCACCGCGACCAGTCGTCCGCCTCGTAGTCTCCTCCTAGCGCAGGTTGGTTATACCCGTAGGTTAAAGAAGATGCGTGTAGTTTCTCTTCTCTGTTAAGGTGTGTGGCTGCCCAGGACTGTCTCTGTTTTAGCAGACATGCCCGTTAGCGGGGCTCCTCCTCTCTCGAGCCTCGGTCTCCTCTGAGTCGTGTCAGGTCCCTGGTTTGGAGCGCAACGGGCAGACCTGCAGGCACTCGGCCTGCCTTTTTTGTTCTTTTTTTCGTTTTGAGTTTTAGATTGAGGGGTGTTGCTCGCTTCCCAGTGATAATCCCCACCCCGTGTTTTCCTTTCCAGGAGACAAAAAGCTGCAGAGGGAAAAGCCAGAAAAGAACACAGAGGATCATGAGGACGCGAAGGGGCTGCTCCAGCTCACCACCCTAAAGCAGGGATACAAGCGCAGCTGTGACGAGGGGGAGTCCCACCCCCAAACAAAGAAAAAAAAGATCGACCTCATCTTCAAAGACGTCCTGGAGGCTTCCTTGGAGTCCGCCAAGTTTGGAGAGAACCAGTTAGCCACGAGCACGCCGCTTGCCATCAGAAAAGCATCTCGGTACCAGGCTGAAGACATCTTCGAGAGGTGTGGCAGCGCCATGCAGCACGGCTCCCTGAACCTCGGCAGAAACCGGAGCGAGGGGGAATGGAAGATCCCCCATGGTTCCTCTTTCAGCTCAGCCAAAGAGGTGGGCATCCTCGAAGACGAGGAAGAAGAGCCCCTGTCCCTCACAGCGGACAGCCCGACCGAGCTGTCCCTGGCCTCTGCACAAGGCAACTCCCACGAAATCCCCACCACCTCCTTCTGCCCCAACTGCATCCGGCTGAAGAAGAAGATCCGGGAGCTGCAGGCTGAGCTAGACATGCTGAGATCTGGGAAGCTACCTGAGCCGTCCGTGTTACCGCCCCAGGTACCCGAGCTCCAAGAGTTCTCGGACCCCACAGGTAAGCCCTGCCAAGTAACAGCGTTCTCCAAACCCTGCCTCAGGAGAGTAGGGAGATGCCCGAGTGCTGTGTACCCAGCTAAAGCATTTTGCTCTGAGTATTCAGGGGAACGCCCAGTACCGTGGAAGGTTCGTTGTCAGGTTTTGTGACCGGGTTGGGGGTCCAGGAGCTGACACAGCTGCGGGCACAGTGGAAAACGCTGTCTGGGAAAGACTCTGTATGACTTGCTCTATTTGTTGCCGTTGTAATCGATGATGCGCTGCCAATAAAAAAGACATTCCATTGCAGACAGTTTGTTTGCCGTATTTTTGATGCATTATTCTCTTTCAGCGGAAGCCCCTCCGCAGTGCCTCACGTGCTACCCAGAAAGTCTGAATGACTCTGCGGTGACACTGAAACATGCGATCTTTGTGTATGAAGCGATGTCCCGCTGTGTCCTGTGTGGGAAAACCATCTTTGTTTCCTCCCCTGCCTTAACACAATCACGTGGCCCTTTCTGAAGATGCGTTTCGTCTCCTCCAGGAACGTGCTGTCGAGCAGCAGGGAGCCTTCACCAAAGGGAATATTTGGGCCACACGGTGTATTGAGCAAGTGGCCAGGATGTCATGTCCTTTCTTTCTGTCTGCTGTGGCTTGTTGGAGACAAAGCTCATGCACAGAAACTTTGGTTTATTTTCCCTTCAAAGCCGTGATTCAAATTCTACCCCTAGTGCGTTGTGGGCAGGAGAGGGCAGGTTGTGGCCAGCTCGTCGGGCAATGCTCTGCTGTCACCAGTACGATGCTTCTCTCGCTCAGCAACTTTGCAAATACCATATTTTTTTTCTTTTCTTTTCTTTTTTTTCTTTTTCTTACAGCTTCAGAAAGCATCATCTCTGTTCCCACCATCATGGAGGACGATGACCAAGAAGTGGATTCTGCCGATGAATCGGTTTCCAATGACATGATTGCTGCTACAGACGAGCCTTCCAAGATGTCTTCTGCGACGGGCCGGAGGATACGGCGGTTCAAGCAAGAGTGGCTTAAGAAGTTCTGGTTTCTGCGGTACTCCCCGACATTGAATGAAATGTGGTGCCACGTCTGTAGGCAGTACACGGTGCAATCCTCTCGGACTTCGGCCTTCATCATTGGCTCCAAGCAGTTCAAGATACACACAATAAAGCTTCACAGCCAGAGCAACCTCCACAAGAAGTGCCTGCAGCTCTACAAGCTCAGGATGCATCCGGAGAAGACGGAAGAGATGTGCCGAAACATGACCCTGCTCTTCAACACAGCCTACCACCTGGCCCTGGAGGGAAGGCCCTACTACGACTTTCGGCCGCTGGCGGAACTACTGAGAAAGTGCGAACTCAAGGTAGTGGATCAGTACATGAACGAGGGAGACTGCCAGATCCTGATCCACCACATCGCCCGGGCTCTTCGGGAGGACCTGGTAGAACGCATTCTCAGCATCATTCTGGACGGGCAGAGCGATGACGTGCTTGCGGACACAGTGGCGGTCTACGTGCAGTACACAAGCAGCGACGGGCCGCCGGCGACCGAATTCCTGTCTCTGCAGGAGCTGGGCTTTTCTACCACAGACAGTTACCTCCAAGCATTAGACAGGGCTTTCTCCAGCCTGGGAATACGGTTGCAGGATGAGAAGCCAACTATTGGCTTGGGTGTCGATGGTGCCAACATCACCGCCAGCCTGAGAGCCAACCTGTTCATGACAATCAGGAAGACCTTGCCCTGGCTTCTGTGCCTGCCCTTCATGGTGCACAGGCCCCACTTAGAAATTCTGGATGCCATCAGCGGGAAGGAGCTGCCCTGCCTGGAGGAGCTCGAAAACAATTTGAAGCAGCTGCTCAGCTTCTATCGTTACTCTCCCCGACTCATGTGTGAGCTGAGGGTGACCGCGGCCACTCTGTGCGAGGAGACCGAGTTCTTGGGGGACATCCGAGCGGTGAAGTGGATCATCGGGGAGCAGAATGTGCTCAATGCTCTCATCAAGGATTACCTTGAGGTCGTGGCCCATCTCAAAGATGTCAGCGGCCAGACGCAGAGGGCGGATGCTTCTGCCATCGCCTTGGCCCTCCTGCAGTTCCTCATGGACTACCAGTCGATCAAACTCATCTACTTCCTGCTGGATGTGATTGCTGTGCTCTCACGCCTCGCCTATGTCTTCCAAGGGGAGTACCTCCTCGTGTCGCAGGTGGACGACAAAATAGAGGAGGCCATCCAGGAGATCAGCCGGCTGGCAGACTCGCCTGGGGAGTACTTGCAGGAGTTTGAGGAGAACTTCCGTGAAAGCTTTAATGGCATCGCCGTGAAAAACTTACGGGTGGCTGAAGCCAAATTCCAGTCGATCAGAGAAAAGATCTGCCAGAAGACCCAGGTGATCCTAGCCCAGAGGTTCGATTCCCGTAGCCGGACATTCGTGAAGGCCTGTCAGGTGTTTGACCTCGCCGCTTGGCCCAGAAGCACTGATGAGCTCATGAGCTACGGGAAGGAGGATATGGTACAAATATTCGAGCACCTGGAGACAGTCCCGTCGTTCTCCAGAGAGGTTTGCAGAGAGGGGATGGACACCCGAGGCAGCCTGCTGACGGAGTGGCGAGAACTCAAGGTGGATTATTATACCAAAAATGGTTTTAAAGACTTGCTCGGTCACATTTGTAAATACAAACAGAGGTTCCCCCTCTTAAATAAGATAGTTCAGATCCTCAAAGTCCTCCCCACCTCGTCGTCCTGCTGCGAGAAGGGCCGCAACGCCCTGCAGCGAGTACGCAAGAACAACCGCTCCCGGCTCACGCTCGA